CTATAGACCGCCCCCCCCCCCCCCCCCCGGAACTTTCTTTGACACGGTGTGAAAACTTTGAACTAGTGTCCAATTTGACAAATACGTTGAAAAGTCAACAAAAAAAAGCTAATTACTCCGTACATAATTTGCCTCGTTTTTAATTAGATTTCACAAAAGAAATAATCTTCACATTGTGTAAAAAAGAAAAATATCCTGATTTTTTGAGTTTGATATTTGAATTATCATCAACTCTTTATTAAAACAGATCTCTACTATAAGTTATTTCGTTTCGTAAATATCACCTTTGCTAAATACATGAAGATGGAGGAACTAATTTCGGTTTTCATGACATGTGTTTTACAAGAAAAGATTTGAAGGGATAACGTAAAAGAAATTAGTATTATATAAAATATTTAAATTTAAGTGGGTGAGAAATTTAAATGATATATTAGAATTTGAATAATCTAAAAACACGTTCAATTATTAAAGTTGTCGACCTAACCTTACGAAATTCAAATAAATATTTCCTCTTTATCTATTGTTACTATATAATACTAACATTTATGCTGGCATTCTATATGGAAAGTCAATAGTGGGACAGTGTTAATCCAATTTTACAAGTTGGAGTCACCCATCAAATGTATTTTCTTGAAATGATAGTTAATTTTCCGTGTTTCATATAGTCTAACACGTAATTAGTATTTTTAAAGAACGTTTCTTTCTAAATTCAATTTGATAGAAAGAATGAACTTTTTTCCACGTATATACATAAATTAATTAATGATCTAAATACGTAGTTTGCTTCTTTTTCTTATTAGATTTCAAAAAGAAATAATCTTGACATGTAACAAAAATGAAGACGCAGGAAACGATCTTTGAACTAGATTTATATTTAATAGTTGATGTTTTCATATCAGTTTTGATATCCCCTATTTATCTGTTATTATATGTGTCAATTGGAGAAGAACTACTCCATCCGTCTCAATTTATAATGTAGTTTAACTAGTGACAGAGTTTAATCAAGAAAGAATTTTTTTTGAAACTGGTAGTCTAAAATAAGTCATAAATGTTTGAGTGGATATGAATCATTCTATCAAGAGTAAATAGGTATTCTCTATGTCCAATAATACTTGTCTTCTATTGACTTTGCAGACTTCTTAAGAAATTATATATCGAAGGGTAATTTTACTATATCATCATTTGAATATAATAAATATAATGTCTTGAAAAATGTAATAGAAAAATGGCTATAATTAATGATAAGGATAAATAAGAAACTAAATGTAAAATAATCCATTGATTTCATAAAGTGGACAAGTATTGTTGGACGGTGATAGTATTTTAAAGTTAATAGTAATTACAAAATGTAGGAATGTGTTATTTTATTTTGGACGGACTAAAAAAAACCGAGTCATATAATATAAATTGGGATAGGGGAATAATATCACAAAAAATAATTAAAAATTAAGTAAGAAATTTTAAATGATCAGGATTATTTCTTAAAAACTCGTTCAGTTATTAAAAAAGAGTGTGGTCGACCAACTATAAAAGAGACATTTAGTAGGAAAGCTCGAAGGCACAAATGTGATGGACAACAAATGTGCCATTCTCTAAGTTCAACGGAAGCTAGGGAGAGATCAATGTCCTTTACAATGAGAGATCATTGTATATTTGAAAAGTTGCTAGTTTTGTTTTTCTTCATTAAAATGTGTTGTATTTCAGTTACTACAATATAAAGTTTTGGCATGACAAAAAATATAAGTTTGGATGGTCAACTGGATTGGCATCATGTGCGTGTTTCTTTTGAATGTCCTTTAATATATATACACTTTCTCTACTTCAATCAATTTATAAAGTACAACAAATGCATTCTATTTATACAAACATATGAATAAATTTAAAAATGATTCATTAATCAATTTATAAAGTACAAAAAAGCCATTTAAAAATTCACATCAAAAGTAAACAAATGAAAGGTAAGCAAAGAGAGCCATAGCTATAGATGACATGCACAAAGGGGTGGATGATGATGAGTTGTTCCTAGCGCCGCGAGCACCAGCACGGACTGCTGGGGTCAATCTGGCGGTTGAACTACTCCTTGTACTGCCACGACTCCCACTCACCCTAGCAATGGTAGGTGTTACGAGGACACACATGATGATAGATATCACAAACACAGCTTTCATAACGTTCTTCATCTTTTATCACTTGTACCAACAATCGATCTCTTTCTTTTGTAAGTATTAGGTGTATGAGAAAATTGGTTTGGATATGGAGAAACAATAAGCTTGTCTATTTATAGTATTGCAAATGAGCACTGGTTAGGAACTTTCTTTCACACGGTCTGAAAACTTCAACTAGCAGTGTCCTTTTTTGATAAGTACGTTGAAAAGTCAACACGAAATTGGAGGAAACCAAATAAATAAATAAATTTGATTACAGACTGCTCGGAAATTTCTTTTTTATCAATTTTTTATTTAACATCATAAGATTAAAAGACATATTTTTAACTTAAGATCACAGAATAAAAAAAATAAAAATAAAATTTAAACTTCATTTCAAATCAAAAATACAAATGGAAAAGTCGGTCACTAGTGCAGTCATATAAAACGTTTATATATATTGAAGAAGTTTAGCTTTTATAGAAAGAAGTACCTTCATAGTGCAAAATTTATTTTACACGTTTTGAGTATATAGAAGTTAAATTCACCCTATAATATATATATATATTTTATTAATTAATAAACTATTAGTTAGCAGTTACGAATGTATGAGGCCGGATTAGTCAAAGGAAAACTAGAGGATAGGCAAGATCATAGACAGTAAAAAATGCGGTTAATTTCCACCATTAATTTTGCAAATATAACCAATTTCTGCTTTAAAAGTTTCAGTTTTAGCTCCCTATTCTTCCTTAGTTTTTTCCCTTTTTTCTTCTTCTCTATATTGGAATTCTAGCCTACTATTCCAGGACCTCCCCCACCCAAAAATATTTAAAGTAATTATCTCTTTTCCTATGAATTTTCATCTCATTGTCTTTATGTTGTAATTGTTCAGTTTCTAACTTTGAGGATTTCAATTTTGGTGATAGGTATTTCATAAAAAATGGCAGATGGTGAGGATATCCAGCCACTTGTCTGTGATAATGGGACTGGAATGGTTAAGGTACGATATACTTGAACACATTTTTAAATTTTCGAAACATTTATTAAAATTCAATTCTAATAAGTAATTCGAATGAATAGACTAGCTCAGAGTACTAAACTTTCGTTATATACATAATCGAGAGAAGCACTAGATCATTTTCACTTTACACGTACGGTATCTCCGGAACGACACCTATTTATTTTTTGGCCATCTTAACAAAAATGTGTTGCTGAAATTTCTACATGACAAATTTTTGATGACTTGCCTGAATTAATAGGATTTGGGGGACAATTTCTAGCGATGGTCATGATTTATGACAAGACAACCTGACGAATTTTATGGCAATCTGCTAAAATCACCAAAGTTTGGTTGCCAATTTTTGGTGTTCGATCACTGTTTGTGATAACACTATCTAACGAATTTAATAGCGATTCACCAAAACAATTTCTGGAGATTATTTTTTTGCCACAAATCTACTTATGTAAATTGAGTGACCATATCATGAGATATTATCTCTGGAATGAAAGAACCTATTTGTGCAAATTACCTTCGATTTTATTGTATGCTACCTTATTTTGTATTTCTTTGAGACACTAATACTACGACTTAAACTCGTGATCTTTTGATCACACAGTGACAACTCTTACCATTGCGCCAATGCTCCCCATCAATAGATAAAATGTCATAGATTTGCCAATTATATATATGTTCCCCTTTTGATTTGTGTAATTGTCAATTATAGGCGGGATTTGCTGGAGATGATGCTCCAAGAGCAGTATTTCCTAGCATTGTTGGTCGCCCTCGTCATACAGGAGTAATGGTAGGAATGGGGCAAAAAGATGCATATGTTGGAGATGAAG